ATATATGTGCATATAACTTTATTTCAGTGTTTCCAGGCTCCACAGGTGGGAACACCAGAGTTCACAAAAAGCTGACTTGCACTGTGCCATCTTGGGACACAAAGGAGGAGTCTCATGGCATCATTGTAGGCTACAGTGAGTCTCCGCAGGCTGCTGTTCTTATATTGCCACCACAGATGTGCTGTGTACATAGGAGTACAGTAGGATCTGAATAAAAAACATTTAACACTAGGTGAGCACATAATAAACTTTCGCAGCAACAATAAAATGAACATCAGGACTGATTGGTCATATGACATCATCGTGTGCTCTGATTGGTCGGATGAGTGGGTCAGTAAAACATCAGAGTGCATGCTGGGAGTCTAAGCGTTAATCTGAGGAGTTAACACATGCTGACAGATGGTGTGTGTGTTTAATCTGTGTTAGTCTGTGTTAACCTGTAAGTCAGTGACAAGCACGTTCCACCATTCTCACAACAGATTGCTTCTCTAACATACAGCGCACACACATGTCCACATGATGCAACAGTGATCTCAGTCGTCATAGAACAAACTGACTGCTGATTGAATTCACACAACTCTGGTCTCAAAGTGTCTCAGAAGAACTTTGATATTTGGTGACAGTTCAACCGAGTTTCTGTGAAAACAGTGAGAACGCTGACCAACAACAGTAGTTTGTGGATTTGGTTACAGGAACATTAGAACCCAGTAGAACTCTCTGCAGAACAGAACCATAAGGTTAGACTGTTGTCTGACACGTGATTGGCTTATTGGGTTTGGGCAGCTCTGACCTGGTGAGGTGACGGCAGCAGCAGACTCCTCGACAGATGACATCAGAACTTTTCATCTGGTATCATCATGATGTTTCTGTAACGACAGAGTAGACTCATAAAACTAGGGAAAAATGCCAGCACTCACAAATGTACCAAAAGTACATTTGTGAGTGCTGGCATTTTTCCCTTTTTTACTGTTTCTGGCCGTGCACCTTTCGAAGGGATTTATTTTGAGAGTGCTTGCTTCTTTCCTACGTGATTTTAGACTCATAAAACTGACACACCACCAGGACCTCCACTAGAAACTCCACCAGAACCTCCACCAGTGTCCCAGTGGATGGAGGCTGTGGGTCGTCTGAGGTTAAACTGAGCGGGTGAAGAATCAGTGAAGCGTGCAGTGCTGTGATTCCACTACTGACCTCACTCCGCCTACATCCAGTTCTACGACTGTATTTATGTACGAGTTGACTCCGGACGCATCAAGCCCTCCGACTGTCACAGATACACCCAGTACTTCTACTACTACTACTGACACATGGAGTACTACTACTCCCAGTGTCAGTACCATCATGAGGGATACTAGTTCTACAACTTACCCCCTCACTACAAGTGATCCTGGTGACTTTCCAGGCATAGACTCTACCACAGTGGTTGACGCTGGCACTACAGTTTTAAATACCATCAATAGTTCTGTCAGTACTGCAGGTTCTGATACTTTCCCAGACTTTAGCAGTTCAACAGAACCTGCAATGGATGGAGCTCCACCCAGCAGTCCAGCTCTGGATTCTGGAGACAAACCAACTCCCACAGTATCCGACACCACCACTCCCAGTACCACTGTTAGCACCACCAGTCCCACCAGTTACTCCACCACCAACAGCCCCCCTGACCCCGGTCGCAGTACTGACTCTGAGGTGTCTATTTCCGACCCAGTGACTTTGCCCTTTGACTCCACCTCCTCACCAAACATCACAGACTTCACCCTCTCTGGGACTGGTACTACCAGCCTGCTCACCAGTACTACCCTACCCGCTGATGGGACTACAATGTCAACCGAAGCACCAACAACAACCATCCAAGAAATGATGAGGGACTTTTAATTTTAAACAGAAACAGGAAGTGTTGAGTGTGAGAATGATAAATGGTGTGGTGTGTTTGAGATGCAGCTGGTAGCCTCTGCAGCTGTGCTGAGTAAAGGCCCAGACACTATCCGTGAGTTTGATTCCTTTATATCCTCCATTTTGAAGAAAGAACATTCTTTGCTAGCTTGATGCTAATGGCAGTACTCAGCGGGTTGATAAAGTGCCTCTGCTGTTTCCTCTTTACTCTGTGTGCTGACGTCCCTACAGGAAATATCTAAAAGGCTGGGCTGTTGTTGTCCTACAGTTTCCACGGCAACAGATAGCTCTGTGTGATGCGTCCCAGACGTGGCGTCGGTTGTTGTCTACTATGACACACTACACCAGATGAAACCATGTATTATCACGTACAACACTCGTTGTCGTTCACAATCCGAGCTGACACCGTACGTCGCTGCGTCGGGCTGTAATCAGGCTGGTATTTAGTGTGAGCCAACATTAAACAATCTGTAAACAATCCGGCAAACACTTTATCATCATCACATGTAGTTTAACCTAGAGTCTGCTGCTGACCCAAGGTTCTGTTGGGTTCTTCGGTTCTTCTGGTTCTTGTTTCAGTGAAATGGTTGATGTTCTGCAGAGGGTTCAGTCAGTATCTGATCTGAGAACAGATTCACTAAGAAACCTAACTCTTCTTCTCTGACAGCGGCTGGTGACTCTAACTCAGCAGCATCTGATAGACCCTCTGCCTCATCAGATGGAGTGACTGACACTACGACCACTGATAGAACTATAACTATTGACACAACTATAACCAACACTAGTACCACTGATGGCACTAACCCTACTGACAGTTTGACTGCTGCTGATACTGTAACTGATTACACCCCCTCTACTGGCAGTACTGTTACTACTTCCACTACTGACCTCACTCCGCCTACATCCAGTTCTACGACTGTATTTATGTACGAGTTGACTCCGGACGCATCAAGCCCTCCGACTGTCACAGATACACCCAGTACTTCTACTACTACTACTGACACATGGAGTACTACTACTCCCAGTGTCAGCACCATCATGACGGATACTAGTTCTACAACTTACCCCCTCACTACAAGTGATCCTGGTGACTTTCCAGGCATAGACTCTACCACAGTGGTTGACGCTGGTACTACAGTTTTAAGTACCATCAATAGTTCTGTCAGTACTGCAGGTTCTGATACTTTCCCAGACTTTAGCAGTTCAACAGAACCTGCAGTGGATGGAGCTCCATCCAGCAGTCCAGCTCTGGATTCTGGAGACGAACCAGCTCCCACAGTACCCAACACCACCACTCCCAGTACCACTGTTAGCACCACCAGTCCCACCAGTTACTCCACCACCAACAGCCCCACTGACCCCGGTCGCAGTACTGACTCTGAGGTGTCTATTTCCGACACAGTGACTTTGCCCTTTGACTCCACCTCTTCACCAAACATCACAGACTTCACCCTCTCTGGGACTGGTACTACCAGCCTGCTCACCAGTACTACTCTACCCGCTGATGGGACTACAAAGTCAACCGGCGCACCAACAAAAACCATCCAAGAAATAACCCCAGCCAGTGATGGGGCTTCACCTGGGGAAACTCCACCCAATCAGGCTGGAGATGCTCCATCCGCAGCAGGAACTGACACAACTTCTCCTAATGTTCCTCCAGACACTTCAATCAATGTACCACCTCCCGATGGAACCTTTCCAGATGTAGCTCTTCCTGATGCACCTCCAGTGCCACCTCCTGGTGTACCGCCACCTGATGAAGCTCCTGATGTACCTCCTTCAGAGGCACCCTCCTCTAGGACTCCAGACATTCTGATAGATACGCCTCCTCCTGATGTACCTTCTCTTGATGTACCTCCTCTTGACATATCTTCTCCTGATGTACCTCCTCCTGAAGTACCTCTACCTGATGTACCTCCTCCAGAGGAACCTCCTCCTGATGTATCTCCTGATGTACCTTCCCCTGATGTACCTCCTCCAGACGTATCTCCGCCTGATGTACCTCCTCGAGAAGTACCCCCTCCTGATGTATCACCACCTGAAGTACCTTCCCCAGAGGTTTTGCCTCCTGTAGTACCTGCTCCAGAGGCATTGCCTCCTGATGCACCTCTTCCTGAAGTACCTTCCCCAAAGGTTTTGCCTCTTGATGTACCTCCTCCTGAAGTGCCCGCTCCAGAGGTATCTTCTCCTGATGCTCCTGAAGAGTCCTTGTTGCCTTCTTCTGAAGGAGGAAGTGATGCTGCTCCAGACAAAATCGTCACCACCTCAGATCGATCTGACCCTAGTGGTGATTTGGCCCCTGTCGACTTCACCTTCCCTTTTCCAGATGATCCAGATTCAGCTGACTCTGGACCAGGTTCTGAACCAGATTCTGGACCAGTGCCTGTTGGTGATCCTGGGAAAACTCCAGATGATTCCCGTGGATTGGAGGATGTTCCTGGATCAAATAAAATAGATTCTGGACTGGATTCTATCTCAGTAGGGTCAGATACAGAGGAAACAGGAAAAGGTGGAACAGAATCAACCGGACCAGATTTCCTTGGTCCTGGTCCAGAGTCTAGACCAGAGTCTCCTCAGGCAGTAGACAAACCAGGAGTAGATTCTTCTGCAGGTCAGATGGAAGTGAAGTCTTCTGGGGAGGATTCAGCTGCTGGTGGACCAGAAGGAGGGTCAGAGGAAAACAAAGAGTCTAAACCAGAGACAACAGAAGGGCAAAGAGAGGAGAAAGGTACCAAGGCTCTGATTGGTCAGATTAGAGCACAGTGAACAACATACCTGAAATTATCATTTAATCATTTAGAGATTGTTTCTAATTTACTTTTACATCTGGGCTGAGTTTGAGCTTCAGTCTTGATCTTAGAACAATTCAAAAAATGAGAAAATGAAATCTAGCTGTAGTCCAGATCAAGTCAAGATGTAATCCAGCTGTAGTCCAGATCAAGTCCAGCTGTAGTCCACACGTAGTCCAGATTTAGTCCAGATGAAATCCAGCTGTAGTCCAGCTGTAGTCCAGACATAGTCCAGATGTAGTCCAGATTTAATCCAGATGTAGTCCAGCTGTAGTCCAGATCAAGTCCAGATCAAGTCCAGCTGTAGTCTAGACATAGTCCAGATGTAGTCCAGATGTAGTCCAGCTGCAGTCCTGATGAAACCCAGCTGTAGTCCAGATGAAGTCGAGATGTAGTCCAGCTGTAGTCCAGACGTAGTTCAGATGAAGACCAGCTCTCGTCCAGATGAAGTCCTGATGAAATCCAGCTGTAGTCCAGATGAAGTCGAGATGTAGTCCAGACATAGTCCAGATGAAATCCGGCTGTAGTCCTGATGAAATCCAGCTGTAGTCCAGATTAAGTTGAGATGTAGTCCAGACATAGTCCGGATGTAGTCCAGATGAAATCCAGACGTAGTCCAGATGAAGTCTAGCTGTAGTCCAGATGTAGTCCAGATGAAGCCCAGATGAAGTCCAGCTGTAGTCTAGCTGTAGTCCAGACGTAGTCCAGATGAAGCCCAGCTCTTGTCCAGCTGTAGTCCAGACGTAGTCCAGTTGAAGTCCAGATGAATTCCAGCTGTAGTCCAGACGTAGTCCGGATGTAGTCCAGATAAAGTCCAGATGAAGTCCATATGAAGTCCAGCTGTAGTCCAGACGTAGTCCAGATGAAGTCCAGATGAAGTCCAGCTGTAGTCCAGCTGTAGTCTGGATGAATTCCAGCTGTAGTCCAGATGAAGCCCAGCTCTTGTCCAGCTGTAGTCCAGCTGTAGTCCAGATGAAGTCCAGCTGTAGTCCAGATGAATTCCAGCTGTAGTCCAGATGAAGCCCAGCTCTTGTCCAGCTGTAGTCCAGACATAGTCCAGCTGTAGTCCAGATGAAGTCCAGCTGTAGTCCAGCTGTAGTCCAGATGAATTCCAGATGTAGTCCAGCTGTAGTCCAGATGTAGTCCAGATGAAGTCCAGCTCTTGTCCAGCTGTAGTCCAGACATAGTCCAGATGAAGCCCAGCTCTTGTCCAGCTGTAGTCCAGATGTAGTCCAGATGTAGTCCAGCTGTAGTCCAGATGAATTCCAGATGTAGTCCAGCTGTAGTCCAGATGAAGCCCAGCTCTTGTCCAGCTGTAGTCCAGATGTAGTCCAGCTGTAGTCCAGATGTAGTCCAGCTGTAGTCCAGCTGTAGTCCAGATGAAGTCCAGATGAATTCCAGATGTAGTGCAGACATGATGATCACACTGTTCTGTAATAAACTCTGTTATTCAGATCGTCAGCACATTTTAAACTTTTCTCTTTGTGTTGAACCCGAACAGACACTGAGGCCACAGAGGAAACAAGAGAGGACACAAGAAAGGAAGCAAAAGAGGAAACTCAAGAGAAAACTAAAAAGGAAGCAAGAGAGGAAAGGAAAGAGGAAACTAAAAAGGAAACAAAAGAGAAAACTAAAGAGAAAAGGAAAGAAGGAAAGAAGGACAAAGATGAAAAAGGCTACGAGAAAAAAGGTACATGATCAGTCGTAGAGCTGCCACCCAGTGGACAGATGCAGTAACAGCAGCAGTTAGTAGTTAATATTAGTTAGTAGTAGTACTCCTGATATGTGAGTGATACGGTAGCGGTGCTGTCCCTACCTGTTGCCATGGTTACACACAGTCTATTTTGTGTCCTAAGCGACCACGAAGATTCTGATCCCAGGAGGACCAAAGTTCAGTCAGCTCTCCAAAATCGCCTACATCTCCTTTCAGGGTAAGACAACCTCCGACATCCTGACACCTCCACCTGCACCGGTCCGCCCCTTTAATATAGATCCGCCCCCCTTTGCTCCAACCCCTCCCCTATCAACAGACTCCTCCCCCTTATGAGACCCGTCTCATGTATACTGACTCCTTCCCTGTAAACAGACTCCGTGGTTGTATGACGACACAGGCATGTCTCCTCCTCTGCTTCTATCTTCATCAAAGTTCATGTCTCTCATCTGTCTGTCATTTCCTCCATGTGATGTGGGCGGGGCTTCTTATCTGGGTGGGGTTGTTGTTACACAGTGATGTCACTGACTTGTCATGATAATGTCACAGCAGACAGATGGAAAGAATCTGTGAATGAAACAAAAACAATATGGCCACCGAGGAATAAACAAAGTAATTTTGACCTGACTTCAGTCTGAAGATAATGACATGTTCTCTGTCTGACGATCAGAGGAAACATGAGAACGTTACAGTCCTCCTGAGGTTCTGTTAGAAAGAACATCTCTGTAAATACAGATGTCTTTTCACACTGTACGACTGACATCTGTGTGTGTGTGTGTGTGTGTGTGTGTGTCAGACTGCGAGTGTAACGGTCACTCCAACCGCTGCAGCTACATCGACTTCATCAATGTGGTCACATGTGTGAGCTGCAAACACAACACGCGAGGACAGAACTGTCAGTTTTGTCGCCTCGGTTACTACAGGAACTCCTCGCTGCCACTCGACCATGAGAACATCTGTGTGGGTCAGTAACACACACACACACACACACACACACACACACAGCTCTTAAGAGGAAGGAGAGGTTGTTTCCTCTTAAGTGTCACGAGAAGCAACTCCCCTCTCCTTGACTCCTTGACTCTGAGAGCATGTAGTGAACTGATGATGTCACTGTCCTTCCTCAGAGTGCAGCTGTGACACTGAGGGCAGTGCGTCTCCTCACTGCAGTGATTCTGGTCTCTGTCAGTGTAAAGTCGGAGCCTCAGGGAGGCGCTGTGACTCCTGTCTGCCTGGATACACCTGGAGAGGGGGCGGAGTCAGCTGTACAGGTAAACTCATGGAGACACCTCCTTTTCCTGTTGTCAATAGAGCCAATAATCAATAATCGATCAATCCTGTCTCAGAGAATGTCTGTGATGACGAGCGTCTGATCTGTCAGAATGGAGGAACCTGCGTCGACTTCCAGCGCTGCGTTTGCCCCGACGCCTTCACAGGTAAACACTCAGCTCAGGTGTGTGATGATGTCACAGCTCAGGTGTGGGATGATGTCACGGCTCAGGTGTGTGATGATGTGTGCAGGTACGTTTTGTGAGAGGAGGGTCTGTCTGAAGAAGGGCGGCTGCCTTGAGAACGCTGAGGGCTCCGCCGCCTCTGTGACCTCACACCTATTCCTGCTCACGCTTGGTCTCATCTCCTCCACCGTCTGCTGACCCCACCCACTGGTGACATCACAGAGGGAGGGATGTTAAAGAAAAAGACTTCTACTGAAGCTGTTGGAATAGGAAGTGATATCACACTTTTTTTCTCTGCAGACAGGAAGTGTGATGGTCTGCAGGAGGAAGTGACATCAAGAGAAGACATATTGATGATGTGGACACATTTCTCAGGACTTCCTGTTTAGATGTTTAATGACACCGATGATGTCACAAAGCCACCTCCTCTTCGTCAGGTGTAGATAATGACAGTCTCTGATTTGTCACTGTGCTGCCACAAACACTTCCTGTCAGACACAGCTGAGGGACGGACAAACAATAATCTCCTCTCTGACTGGATGTACTGACTGCCGCACCTCAGCGCTGTGCTATGATTGGTCCTCAGTGGCTGACAGACAGTTGCCGTGGAGACGGACCGACTGTGTTGTAGTTTTGGACATTGTGTTTTTACAGTTTGTGTTTGTTGTGACACACACACACACACACACACACACACACTGATGAAGACTCTGTTGAGGTGAAACAGCTCCACCTGCTGATGAACTGAAGAAACACAGCCAGACATTTGATCTTCTTGATTGTATTGATTGATGACTGGAAACACTCTGTGACTCAGCAGCAGTGAAAACAGGGGGAAGAGTTCCTGACATCATCATCATCAGACTAACAGTGTGATGTCATCAGTTTGTGACCAGTAGAATAATCAATCAGTATTTACTGACTCAGGTTATTGATTATTGTTTTATATGTTTTCAATGTTGTAATTAAACAACGTTCCAATAAACAAACAAACAAACTCACTATTCATTAATATTTTCAGTCAGTGACGTCGACTGCAACTTTTAGATTGATGGACTAAACTACACCAAACCAGGAGTAGAGAGCAGAGACACCCCCTCCTCCATCTCCTTCTCCTTCTTTTCCTTCTTATTCTCCTCCTCATCATCATCATCATCCTCCTCCCTCTCTACCTTCTCCTCCTTCTCCACCTCCACCTTCTCCTTCTCCACCTCCTCCTCCTCCTTCTCATTGAACAGAACAGAACAAGGTGAGAGGAACAAGAAGCGAACAGAACAGAACAGAACAAGGTGAGAGGAACAAGAAGCGAACAGAACAGAACAGAACAAGGAGAGAGGAACAAGAACAGAAGGGATCAGAACAAGGTGAGACGAACAAGAACAGAAGGGATCAGAACAAGGAGAGAGGAACAAGAAGCGAACAGAACAGAACAAGGTGAGATGAACAAGAAGCGAACAGAACAGAACAGAACAAGGAGAGAGGAACAAGAAG